AAAAACGGTCATCTTTCTTAAGCCCTAAAAACTGCGAAGGAGTATGAATAAAAATAAACCTACCTTGCTACAAGCGCGTGTTTCCAAATGTTTCCTGTGAGGTTTGTAGGTTGCCGGTTTTAATGCTTGACTGCACTGACCTCTATATCCTTTCCGAAGGTTGGGCTCTAGCTCTCAATAAACCCAGCCGATTGAGTCCACTGAAGGAAAACGGCCCTAAAATCGCTACCAAATTCTCCAATTGCCTTGAGATTCCACCTACCAGTCCATATCATCATGGACAATAGTTTTCCTTCACGTTCCTGTTCTTCATTGGAGGTTCGGCTACACTGAGAAGGAATAACAGGCCACTGATAGTTGCAAAAGGCTTTCTTGAGAGCCGCTGGATGAGGCCTTATACGAATATGTTGTGTTCTCAAAAAGTTCAAATTACCCACACTCGGGGTGGGTGGAAGTATACAAAGTTAAACTGATGATGTCATTGGGAGCAAATGTAGGCTCACTCACCCCGACTGTCAGTAATATGTAGCTTTCAAGAATGTGACCTTTGCGTAACGCCTCCTCTGACAGCCCTTAATGAAACCTTTTGACAGAACTGGCGGCCATAAATTCCATGTCAGAGTCAGTGAACCCTTGTTTGAAGAACAGCAACATGAAGGAAAACTATTGTCTGTAATGTACTGTATGTCAAATTTCCAAATTCCGGCCATTTTCCTTCATTGGACTTGTTTGACTGGGGTCACTTGAAGTGCCCAATCTAGGAAAAGGTTATATAGAGGACAAAATATTGAGGTTGAAAACCACCTAACTGGCTATAAATCAGCCAAGAAACCTCACAGGAAACAATACAACACACATCTGAAGCAAGGTGCATGTAGGTTATTTCTGTTCATACTCCTTCATATTTTTTAGGCTTAAGAGTATAACCATTTTTTCCAGACAAATATCACAAATCCGTGAATTTCTACTGTTACATAACCCAAGTACTACTGTGTGCACAGGGACGCTCATTTATGTGCTTGGTTCACCTGTGGTGTTTCTAAAATTCTCAACACATGGCAGCACTTGGTTTTTAAGTGCAGAGCCACAAGTTTGCTGTTGTGACTTGACTTAGATCCATGTCTTCTAGGGAAGGAAATGGGCTGGAAATTCTTCTACGCAGTGCCATCGGCCAAGGGCAGCTGCTGCCCCTTCATTCCTTTATTTATAATCCCCTGCTCCACGGTCCTTCTGTGCAATTATGCATAGCTAGCGGGGTATTGCATCCACAAGTGCTTTGTCTCATTGTTGGAGTATTCTACATGTACATGTAATGTGGGTAGCCAAGCCACGGGGGAAATAGGGAGAAGTCAAGTAGAGATTCTGCTTGCTTTTATCCAAAGGGAGTGTAGACAGAGATTGTGTGGTGATGTCCATCACATTTTAATTAGACTGTGGGTAAAGGGTTAAGTCTACAGGTTCTTCCTTTTCAAGAATGTCTGACACAGAACACAAACATACAAACACCTGTAAGACAGGCAGAGTGAAACATTTTTCTACTAGAATTCAAAAGGAAAATTGCATAATGTCTTGCTTTTATAGTTGGGCACAGCCTTGATATCCAGTTTCTTATTTTCTGCTGACTTTTAATAGGGTAATTTCTTCAATCGTGAAGACAGTGCTCCTGGACAGTTTTCTCAATCCCAAGAAGAGGTTTTGGCCGGTGATACAGCATCTCTGGGTCTCATACCAGAGACAAAGTTTCACCCACTTCATACAGCATGGATTGCTATTTTACAGCTGTTCCTCTTCGTAAGTGCATAATACAGAAACTTGAGAACCCAGGGACACATGTAGTATTGTTTATCCCTTTATCTGAACAAAGAAAATAAAACCTGCATTTAGTTTGATAAATTTTGAACCAAAAGCAAATATAAACTACTGTATATATGTTGAACAATGTTTATGTAGCCCTTGCTAATATTTTTGTAATTAACTCACATTTCTAGATATATACTCTTGCATACTGGGTATGTAAGAAATTAAATTTTCTCTTATATTTTCAGCATAGTGAGTTTATATATAATTATTATATTAAAGATAACATAAATTCTGATTTTGTATTATTATTATTATTATTATTATTTATTTATTGATTTTATTATCATAATTATTCTTTTTTCCTTTTTTGCAGATTGCCTATGAAACCATGCAATTTATAGTTCCTAATGGACACCTAATGCATCATGTTTCTTTATCACTTGGAGGTACAGATCCTCCATTCAGCTTCCTGGTCGTGGTACATGTTGGGTTATGGGTCATCATATTTGTCTCAGACAGAGTTTTACAGCATCTGCATCACCAGTCTCAAGCAAAAGGCTACTTGGAATTCTTCCGGGAGACTAAGGAATTGAGGAGAATTCCATATGCCATTTTATCAATAGGTACAGCTGTATGTGTGACGACTAATTTTCTCATGTTCATTTATTTTATGAGACTTTCTCTTTGAAAAGGCCTTAAAGGAAATTTTTACTCTGAATTTTGCTGATGAGATCTTATAATTAATTACATGTACAGTACTTGACACTACGGGAGAAAATCTGATATTGATAATACAACCTGCGATTCATGAAAAACATTTTAAATCTGAGAAAATGATTTTTAATGATACAAGAGTTGCCTAATTCACCATTAAATGGGCTGTGAAGGGTCATGTATTTTGTACATGTATTTTGTGTTCCTCCTGTTCCCTGGCTGCCTTGTGATTCTGCAGACAAGGAGTCCTAGAATATTCATGCTGAGTTGCCTTAAAAGGTCTTTTTAATTTTAAAAGTCCTTGAAAACAATGTTGTGAAAGTTGTATAAACCATGCATAATTTTGGTTTGTGAAATTCCAGGGTTCACAATAGGGCCTAGTGGTTCGAAGTATGATCACAATAAGATTAATGCCAACTTAATCAGGGCAGGAAAAAATTTGAAATCTACTTGCCACGTTGGCCAGTACATTTCTGTTTTCAGTTGCCTCAATTAAAGTATTACTTTCCAAATAGGCATGCAACGAATGTGATAGGATTTTAAATTAATCCATGCTTTCAACTCTATGTTTTGCTCATCTTGCAGTCATAAATTTTGAAATTGTTTTGGATTGAAAATTATCACCAACAAGACTGCTGAGGCTAATTTCACTTGCCCACCAAAACTTCCATTTTCACTGGCCCAAGGGCAAAATTTACTTGCCCCAGGGAATCGGACCTGGGCTTTTCCCCGCCTGACTTTGTATATTAAGATCTCACAAACATAATCAGTTTAAAAAGTTTACTTGATCGACTGTTGATTGACCTTTGATCGGCACTTGCGTGGTATTCAATCGACATCTCAGTCGACAGTTGGTCAATAGCCGACTAATTTTCGCAGACATGCCACTGAATGTTGATTGATACATATGAATTGGTCAACACTCAACTGACTATCGACCGACTGCCAATTGAGTGTCAATCAGGTGTGGATCGAGAACTGATGTTGATTGAGTGTCAACTGTGTTGACCAAGTTACACATGATCCATAGAGTTTAAGATAGCAGGGGATCGCCATCTACACAGACTCTCCTTCGTGATCTCAATCAGCTACTCTGCTTGATTATCTGTTTCTTTGTGATAGATGGATGGTAAAATAAGTCACCTACCACAATAATAAAGCTGCTTCTGTACAATCATGACCCTCAACTCTGAAATCAGTTTAAAAGTCGCAAATAATGATTTCGTTTGGTATTATTTTCCATTGTCTTTCATTTTCCTTTGATTTAAAGTGTACCTCTTATTAATGTCCTGTAAAAAATTATTACTAGTAAAGATATCTGTAACAAGAGCAAGTGTTTTAAGTTATTACTATTATTGATATATATTTCTATCTTCTTTCAGGAAATGCTGTGCTGTTGATTATATTTGCCGTCATAGGTCACGACGCTAAAAGGTCTAACAGGGGTGGCCTGGCACTATACAATATTCTGCAGATTATATTCACTGTTGAGTTCATCCTAAAAACTTAACAAACTGACGTCAATTTTTCATGTGTCTGGCCTGTTACTGATCATGAACTTTGTCATGACGTTGTCAAAGTAGTCTGCAGATCCACTCAGTAGCTGTGGATCACCAAGTGGATCCGCCGACTACTTTGACAATGTTATGATGAAATTCATCGTCAATAACAGGACAGACCCATGAAAAATGGATGCCAATTTCTTTTTTTAATGTTAACAAATTGTCAAATTGTCTGCTCTCACTCATTGACGCATCGCATAAATTATAAAGCAATGTGCCTGTCTGCTTATCGACAATGAAAATTAGCCACTGAGCACGCGAGAATTTCTGCAGTTATCGTAAAAATGATAATTTACATTTGAAAAGTAGCATAACAAAGTCTATCATAACAAGTCAACTGTAGCTTCATTTCTGGTCAAGGGTCTGATCACTAAGCACAGAACTATACACTGTATAATTATCTGCCATGTTTTAATTAAGAAATAGAAAGTTACACTCTGTAAGAAAGCCCTAGCTAGCTAGCTAAACCCTAAACCCTAACACTACTTCACTACTCACTATCTATTACAGAATAGATAGTGAGTAGCGTAGCCAATCAGCGAACAGCATTCGTGATAGAGCGCTAGTGGATTTATACTAAAACTTGATAGGAACACAGAACCTGCACAAGCTGTTGACAAAGTAGCATTGCAACAAAGGGATTTCACATTTTAACAATCAAAATAAATGAGTCACAGTCACTTTCCTTTCTTTTTTTCTAATTGTGTTTTCTAAAAGAACTGCAGAAAACATTTTGGCCGTTTTTATGCCGAGTTATGGAAACACTCATGACAGTTTGAGAGAATTCAAATTAAGAAATTGACGCCAGTTTTTTATGTGTCTGTCCCCTTATTGATGATAAATTACATCATAACATTGTCAAAGTGGCTGTGGAACCACAAGCCACAGGCGGGTGGTTCCGCAGTAAACTTTGACAATGTTATGACGAAATTTATCATCAATAAGAGGACAGACGCATAAAAAACTGACGTCAATTTGTTTTTTACAATAA